ACTTAAAGGTAATTTCAATATATTTCTCCTCATCATGTAAGTACGTTCTAAGTTTTTCAAATTCTAAGCCCGATTGGAGTTAAAGAGAAAATGCAGATCTAAGAGGAATTGGAATCCAACAGGATGATAAAATAAAAGAACCAATAAAAAACGTATATCAATCTAACATGTTTAACTTTTATTAAGGTAACGTCAGAGATTGAGAGAAAACCAACAAAAAGACAGAAACAGTGGCATTTTCAATTATTTTTGGGTCATTTCTCATTGGTCAGTCATGTGTCATGTATATTAAAACAGTGTATAATTCTGTCGTCTATGGTATTGTGAGCATCCTTCTGTAGAACCACAGCTCTGTTGCCTCAAACTTCCTTTTCATCTGTGAAGAATTTTCCATTATTCACTGAGATATACGATATGTTACAGATCAGACCTTTGTTTCTAACGAGATTATATTTCTTTAATACTTTCGCACACACAAAAACAGACACACACGTACGTGTAAATATATCTTATATATAAAGTACAATGTATGTGTGTGTGTGTGTGTCTGTGTTGGCGATACCACTGGTTCTATTTCAATGATTCATAGCTCATTCAAAAGCCCTAGAAAAGTTAGGCACAAAGAACGATTTCCGTTGAGCTCAAATTCAGGGTTGCCAGATTATACGAGGTTAAAAATATATATTAATATATAATATTAGCCATTATCATTGTTTTCATGTTCCAAGGGTAGTAACTCTTATTTTCCTTTTGTATCCAAAATTGCAGTGCACATTTTATTATCAACTAGCTTAAAAGCCGCCCTATTGAGTGGCATTTAAGCTAGCTCCTGTGGAGAACTCTTGGTTTAGCCATCATCACAATAGCTTTAGAGGAGAAGTTGATGCGTAGATCCTTTATTTCCGTACAAACAATTATACTTCTATTTCATGAATGACAGAACAAGGAACAATTTATAAGCTAAAATTAATATAGTATAACATCAGAAAATAGGAATTAAAATTAGTTATACATTCAAAAACATTAATTAACTGTACTTAATTAGTGTTTTTTTATTCAAGGATTATTTTGATTTTCATATCAAAAATAGTTCTGTTTAGGAATATTGTCTTATATCATGCAGAAATGTGTTTGAAATTTGCATTTTACCTGCCTTCAACAAGTTGGCATCTATTTGTAGAATTTTCCTTAACTATAACAAGCGAATTTATGGTTATTTCCAGTAGGGAGTATATCTTACATTTGTGAGGACAATAGCGAGCGGGCGAAGTCCGCTATTTTATATAAACATATCAGAATATACGTAATAATGCATGTGTAAATATATATGTTTTGCAGTCTCTCTTCGGGCCTGAGTCCATGGCTTTCTACAACTTCCTATAAATCATATTTCTAAGTAATGTTTACTTTTTACTGTCACATTTTCTTGTCCTTTTTAGTCGTCCACATACACATGCCCGTGATAGCATATTCTTGAAAGAACTTTCATCGTTGTTTCTCTTTAGACACTATTTTCAATTTTTCTGTGTCCAATTCAGGAAAACCCTCTTTCTTAATTGTGCCCTCGAAATTTCAAACTTTTTCTCAGTAAAAAGGTGTCCTCTTATTTTCCCAGTTTTTCACCTCATCCTGTCCATAGTATTCTCAGCATCCTTTTGTAGAACCACACATGCTGTTTCAAGTCTCCTCTTCATTTGTGAGGACATTGCATTCGTTGTTGCTATATAGGGACACTGATGTTACATACCAGTTTAGCACTCTTTTTTTTGTTTTTAACGGAAAGTTGATGTTTCATTAATGTATAGATATTATTGTCTTTAAACTATTCAGATTGTTACATTTCCACATCTACTTCATTTTTTGCCACGATAAAATATTCCCATTTCGGTTTGTTCTTTTGCTGACAAACACGCACTTTGTTGTCATACATTTGATGATAACTCATGTTTTCTGGCATTTCTTTTGTTTTCTGAACTTGATTTCTACACATTTTAACGATGTAGCGAATATTCTTAATGTGACGTTCACCTACAATAAGTTCAGATTTCTAATCCTCTAAGAGGCATATTGTCGTGCAGCTTAAATATATGTGGAGAAGAAGGACATCATTGTTGCATTTCTTCTACTTTATTTATTTAATACTTTCTACTTGGTATTTTTTTTTGCAGTTTACTAACATTTCAAAAGTTTGTCAGTGTCGTACTTTATCTAATGCCTTTGTGTAATTCATGAGAAACAAAAATAGCCCTCTTAATGCTTATTATTATTCTAATCATCATCATCATTATATCATTATTATACGATGAAATATTTTTCATGAGATTGTTTTGCTAGTTTTGCCATGAACGCTTCTTCTATGTATTACACTCCTTAAGGAAGTAGGCGATCCTTACCCTCATAACTTCCTATTCCTTGTGGTCTTTAGCAGTTTTTTCTGCTTTTTCTGAGGCTTCCGCCGTCACGTTCCGCTGTGTATTCACACAAGCTTTCAGGTAAATGGCTCAGTGCCTTCTATCACTTCTTCCCTCTATGAAGGTTATATTTTCGAAACTATCTTTCCTCATTTTAAGCATAGGTTACATGTAGCACAAGATCGAATGTGTTGCAGCTTACTCTTTTCATCCATAGTATTTTCCGTAGAACCACACCTCTGCTGCTTCCAGTTCTCTTCTCGTCCGTGAGATTGTCCAATATTCACGGTCATGTAAGAGGATGTATATCACATAGGAATCCAGCACTCTTTTCTTTGTTTCCATTTTTCCGTTTCGCAAAACCTTGATTAGTTTTTGGAATGCTTCTTTTGCTAGTCAAATGCTATTAAAACACTTTCTAAACATTTAAACTTCTGCACCACCTTGATGTTGATATCATCAATTTGCAACTTATATCTTGGTCTTTTTCTCTTGCTAATGGCAATACCTTCTGCCTTTTTGATTTAATTGAAGGTTAGTCCTTTTTTCTTGCTTTCTATAGGTACTGGATACATTTATGTGAGAAATATCTACCAGGCAAATTTCTTTCACTACATTCCTTATTTTGAAGCATTTATTTTCCGGGTTATTTTAAATTCCATATTTTAATATACTTAGGTATCATTTTTGTTTTAATTTTTAACAATCCATGTGATATCATTTTATTATTCTAGCTCCTAATAAGGTCATTTTCTTATCAGCCAAATGGTACCAAACATTTTGAGATATGTTGAGGGTTAGTGAGTGAAAGATAGAACACTTACTCATGATTCTTCTATAATAATAATAATAATAATAATAATAATAATAATAATAATAATAAAAGTCAACCAATTTCATTAAATATCACCTTCACAAAACTGGATTCTGTGCTGTGAAGAAAGTTCGGTAAAACAGGGGAGATTGTGATTCACAGTAAGTAAATATAACATGTTGGCGCATTACAAACAGAGACAACAAATATAGCACGTCTTGCCCAACAGATGGTTTCTGGTAAATACCAGGTTTCTGCTCTCTCCAATTTGCATAAGCATAAACCATCTCCAGTGTAAGTAAATGACAGCTAACGCTGTCCGGGGGTCTCTTAACCGTGCTGTATGGTAATGTAAATGATGTAAGAAGGACAAAAAATCATTAATGTCTAGAGGGAGGGCAATTTTATCATCGATATATCAGTATCCGAGAGCGTAAGGTTAGTTGAAGAACTCCTCCCGCTCATGAACAGAGATGCTATCTTTAAAAATGCATCAGCCCCTAAGGGGCATGAACAACTGGTTCTGGACAGTTAAATGACAAACAAATATATGGTTTTGAACTTTAGTTTAGCGTTAAGTTTTTTTTATTGAATTATTATTATTTATTATTATTATTATTATTATTATTATTATTATTTTCATGCTAGGTGTCTGACAGTTATTGCTGGATATTGAGTGAATGCAATTCTACTCAATATTTCAGGACAAAGTATTCCAATTCTGTTTAGAAGTTCTATCGTCGAGACTATCTCGATTCTTACTCTAGATTTCAGATGTAGATCTTCCAAGAAATAGGAGACAAATTAAATCTTTTCAAAACATAAATGATGATCTGGAAGTCGAATGAAAAAACGAATGGCACCTGAATCCATCATAAAAAAAAATCAGGAAGTGGAATTTGTAAATACATCAAAGTATAAGTTATAACAAATTTAAGATAGAAGATAAGGAAATTTAACATAGAAATAGGCAATTTTGATATCCCATATCGCTGAATGAATTCATGTTCTTATTACATGAACAAAATAGTATATGTTTGTGTATTTGAGTAGCGAATTGAGTAAGGAGCAATCATCTTGGCTGATTGATTGATTTATTTTTACGGCTCATAAACCATTTGCAGGTTATTTAAAATAAAAATAAAAATATATTTCTAAATTCTAATCATTTTTTGGAGATGACGCATATACTGGCGAACGAGGTGACAGGGCGTATAACACGACCTCCAAATTTTCAAGTTAAAATGTAGGTTTTGGGATATATTCGCCGTATAAGACGATTCCCTGAAATTATATTTTAAAATGTGTTGTATTGAATTTATTAAATAAATTCAGTAAGCATATTATTACACTACACTTTTATTATTTTATTATAATTTGAATTAAGTTGTTTGAGCAGAGATATTTGTGTCGATAGTTACCAAGTTAGGGGTTAGTCTACCGACAGAAATCTCTGATGCTAACAACTTAACATAAACCACAAGATCTTAGGTTAACATTTTATAACTGATGTATGAGACAGTCCTCTATTTGGGGGGATTTTAAGGTTAAAATGTCGCCTTGTACGCCAACATATACGATAATAATGACCTGCTGATACAAGTTCTATTAATTACCTCATAACTGGGGGGAGTGGGAGGTGAATTCATACCTTTCCAATGATGTTTACCTTAGTGAATACAATGAACCCGATTGGCATAATGATTTGAAACTCGGATCTCTGATTTTCCATACCGAGCCATTATCCTTTTCACCATCCGCACATCTAAGCTTAAAGCACTTGGAATTCCTAAGCGGTCACCCATACAAGTACTGACCAGACTCGACGATTCTTAACTCCAGCGATCGTATGACAACCGGTGCTATGAGTGTAAGCCCAGACATCTTGGAAATGTATTCTTTTTTAATTCCGAGATAAAACCATGTCATCATTCCATGAACAATACAGACCGTTATCCAAGCTATTGTTGTTTTGATCGCTACGCTTTGGCTGATACATTCTTACGCTTTTGTCAGCTTTACATTGAACCGATAAAATATCCACAGCGATGTTTTTAAAGAAGAAACTGAGATAAATATTCATGTAATAGAATTTTGGAAGTGTTCAAGATGATAAAGTCATTAGAGATTAGTTTGCAACAAAAACTTACAGATGAGGACGCATCGGTCGTAATTTAGTAATTAAATGACAAAGAGAAAAAGTTTAGTCCAAGCAATTTAAGGAATCTTTAGTAATAAAAGTTAATTGTTAATTGAGTAATACTTTTCTGATCGCAATGTGAGCGTAGGTGTTAGATTGGCAGATATGATATTATGAACCCATTTGCACATCTCTTGCTGCATTCTAGCAGTTTACACTGAGAGACCAGCGAGGAATTTTCATTGTTCATTGTTTTATGACGTAGTTTGCATTTTTTTTGTATGCAACATTATACAACAATTCATAATCTTTATAATGTTTTATATTTTTTACGGTTTTTTTTTTTTTAGATAATAATGATTTACTGATACAAGTCATACAAATTAACTATTAATTAGCTGAGGAGGAGAAGTGGTGGATTCATATATTTCCCAAGCGTATTTGCGCACAAGTGAATATAATTGACCCGACTGGAATTGGAACTCGGCTCTCCGATTACCCATTATACCACCGCACTTCCAAGCTTACAGCACCTGTTATTCCTTATAAAAGCGGTCATTCATCTAGATACCGATCAGGCTCGACGTTGCTTAACTTCGTTGATCGTACGAGAACAATTGTTTCAACATGATATTACCGTAAGACTACCAATGTCTGTGTTATTGCGTGAATGCGCATTGTTTAGCTGTTATGGGCACCGAAAATGCGATCGGCGTGTAATAGATTTCCAATTCTGTCACACAAATACCCTTCGCAAAGATAAGGTATGAATCCACCTCTGGAGTCTTCACCTTAGCTGACAGCTAATTAGGGAGAAATAAAATTTTCAATTGAAAACCGTTGAGAAAGCAACAGGAAATCAATTCAAACTCTTTTCCAAGATGTCATGATAATTCCTAGGTAGTAGGAAGCAAAGTATGTTGTGAAGAGTCATAGTCTCTTACGTCTTGAAGATACATGATTTTTTTATATATGTTGAGTGAGAAAATACATAATATGAATTAGTAGATATAGAAAATGCGAAAGACTGAAAATCTTTCATAGAAAATCGAATAAAACATGAAAATTTAACTATATTAAACATGAAAATACCTCTATTACTTGCACATTCTACTTCATAAAAAAGTAAAATAGACAGTTTTGATGTTTATATATTTGTATTAAACTGATTGAATTTCACACGGAGCAATTGCCTAGTGGATTTCTTATAGGTAAATTTTATTGCTCTATTTCTTGAAAAGTCCATAAAAAGAGTAGAATTACACATTTTATAAGAAAAGAGTTTAAACATATGAAGCAGCTATTAAAAATATCCGAAAATAGTCGTTCGACCATTCTTAGCAATGAATTAAATGAAAAGTAAATAAATAAATACTACCTGAGGCTTTCAAAATCCCTACCAGAGAGTAACATTGTTAACGAGGACCATTATCTTCATTTTGTTGTTTGTTTTTCTCCTTTCGTTTTCATTTTTTTATGTTTTCTTTTTTTAAACCAAAGTTGGTTGTATGATAAGAAAATATATTTGTATTTAAATCCCTACCAGAAAAAACTCGACTACATGTAGCTCGATGTCGCTGTTCATTAAAAGGTCTTCAAGAATTTAAAAGAAAATGGGAACCAGAATTCTCGATGACAACTGAAAGGTGACATGACTAAAATTTTACAACAAAAAAAAAAAAACTAAAAAAAAAATTTCAATATGAAAAATTTTGACTTAACGGCAATCAACGATATTATTGAAATATTTTCTTAATATGAACAGATCTACACAAGCCTCGTATTCAGATTTTCTAGGCTTTAACTGGCACAAGGCTACAAAAGAATCTAGCAATGGTTTTTCTAGTTCTAGAATCTCGTCACATAATTACGTTTCGGAGTCAACCAACGCCCTTCAGAAATATACTAGTTTCTTCAAGAAGAATGATTGTTTGCAAGATAACTTCACAGATCATTACTAGTGTAGAATGTAATAAAGTGATGATTCTAATTACAATAGAAATAATATGAGACACAAGCTGTATTGCTAATAATTTCTGCAGTTGATATGAATGTGTAGAACTAGATATGCCTTGGCAAAAAAGAGTTTTGATGAACTGAAGCGTGCATGGGGTAAACTCCAACATACAGATGTTAGCTGAATTTATTCCAATGGTATGAAATATTTACTTAAATTTCTCATAATCTGATACAGAGCCACGCAGCAATGTCACACTGGGAAATTGCCTAGTGGATTAAAGCATGAGATTCGGGAATTTGGTGACATAATATATTTGAGTTCAATCCCTGGGTCAGGTTGTGTGTACTTGGACTCACTGGAAACAGAGATTGACACTACCTGGATAGTACTAATTTAAAAACAAGACACGATATCCGAGGGCAATGGAAATAAAAAAATATACAAACAAAGGGTTCAGTTCAAAATTCTTTGTAGGTTATCCGTATAGTCTACGCTCAGAGAAGATACGGCACATATGAACAATAAAATGTTTCAATCAGTTTCGCAAAAAAATCGTTATTTACTGTTCTGCAAACATATTGGAATAAAAAATATATATTCTTACGTTCATATTTTTCATCATTTGTTTGTAAAGCAGATTTCATTTTTTGAAATTTTGTTCTTTCAGGACATAAGCAATTATGAATGTCCAGAAATTCCTTTTCTTTAAAATTATTTGAAAATTGCTTTGATTTGGGAAGGTGAGTTAAATGGTTTGCTGTCGCTTTCTCCGTGGTTTTGAATTCAGAATAGTCCTTTTCCAATACTGACTGCTACTCATGTCTAGAAACCCTAATGTATCCTACATTACACCTCATAGCTTGGTATTTAAGCAAAAAGCCAATGCAACATTTAGGCCAGAATTTCCTCATTGAAACCGTTGCGTTAACAGCACACTCTTACAAGATCTATTTGCATTTAAAAAAATAAAAATAAAAACACTGATATTATTTTAAAAGGTCTTACCATCCAGTATTAATCTAATCAACGGAAAATTTTCAAAATAAATTTATCTATTGTTATATATTATACAATAGATAGGGTCATAGCTGAAAGAATCAAATGAACAAACGTTACGTGGCGAATCACGTAACAAATTAAGTACACTCACTATGTGGATTTGATCATGTAACTCATATAAAATGTTGCTAAAAGCATTCTCAGGGGTTATTATTTTCACAAAGATATTTTATGTGGATATTGTTGGTTATAAATCATTTTTGTTTCCAGAAATTAATTGTAATAATTAAAATATTTCTTGTACAATATCATTTTTCTACAGATGGAAACGAAATTCATGCGCGATTAAATAAACATGTCCCAAGTCTTCAATCCAGCTGAATTATTTAAATACGCTTTCTCGGTTATTGTTTTCTCCAAGTCTTTCTTAATTAATGCTATCTTCTTGGAAAATAAGCAAAAGTAGTTATTGCTGAGGTTAGTTAACGCTTATGCCATTGGCAAACTAATTAAAATCGAACCGATTTTCTCAGATGTAATTCTACCCTCGTCCCATCAATAATCGTTTAGAATATGAAGTGAATAAATAAATAAAAATATAAAAATAAACGTGCTCTTGTTAATCATTGGGATTTGACACATAACCTTTGGAGTTAGAAAGGTGTGGGGTGAACAATGAGAAAATTTGATCCCTGTTTGCTTTGGATTTGCTTGAACCTGTAGACTTACTATGCATTAAAGAGATACTAGATAGTGATGTTTTGGTCTCAGCACCGATTATGTTTTACGGGGTTGAGTGTTTGCCAGATCAATAATAATAATAATAAAATGCCCTATACCAAGAGTAACTTTCAAGGTTTCTGCTCTTAACTGATATGAGTTGGTAACATGTATATATTTTGTCTCAATGGGCTACTGTTTAGTAGCAGGGATTTGATTATCAGTTGCATGACCATAACCAGTTGGGCATGCCACAAATAGCTAACGCACTGTCCATTTATATTCATGAACAGGAGTAGTAGGGAGCACGATAGTTGTGTCGAGAGAGTATGTTTCTTTTTAAGCTTGATTAATGAGTCAGCCAAAGCAGCTTGTAAAGTCACATCTAGATACTTGGGAACACCCTTAATCAAAGACCATCAAAGTGGACCTTAAAAAATGATTCAACCATTTGGGATCACAACATTAATTAGAATGTAGTGTTTTATCTACTTATTATGGACTGTGATATCTCCTCTCTTCGTTTCACCATTGGTATTGATCGGTATATTCTACATTACCACTATTCCTCTTATTATTCATAGAACTTGACAATTAAAGATTCTAGATTTAAAAATAAAATGGCTTCTTCCGTATTGGTACGTCTGCAACTAGTAGAATAAACCTGCGTTAGTCACATGATGTGTTTTGTTACCCTAAATCTTTTAAATTACCCGTTATTCCTAGTGGACAACTTGTTTCTTTTGTTCTTTCGGTGAGGATTTGTAGCACGCGGTGTGGCGCAGTTGTAGTTCAGTTGTCGTGGGAGGCAGACATCAAGAAACTATTCATTTTCGGAAGTCGGAGGTGACTAACGCAGGGTTAAGGATTACTTATGGTTAAAGTTTGCGGCAGAACTGAGAAGAGAGATAATGACAGATACTGAAACTATAAAACCAGGATTTAAAATAAGAAGAAAAACAACTGAAAAAAGCAAGAGGATTTGGACATAAGATGATATAGTCAGGGTTGTGCAAAGGACACTTTAGATAGAAAGTGAATTCCTGA